TTCAACTGCTGCTGATAAAGTCGTGCAAGGACAATTTTCAAGTAGCTATTAGATCTACAAATTCCGATTAATAGGAATCAATATTCATTTTTTAACGTTTATTATACTCAAATGTTTTTTAAAATGTATGTGAACTGAAATATGTGTTTGGTTGCTGTTGTGCACCATTTACATGTCATCATTTTTGTACAGTTTTTCCACAGCTTTAGCAGAATTGTGGTACAAAAGGGAAAGCTTTTGGTGAATGTGTATTATAAATACAGAATAGTGTAGTAGTTAACCACTTCCAGTCCGGACACTTTCATCCCCTTCCTGTCCAGGCCAATTTTCAGCTTTCAGTGCTATCACACTTTGAATGACAATTGTGCGGTCATGCAACACTGTACCCATATGAATTTCTTAGCATTTTTTGAGACAGATAAAACTTTATTTTGGTGGTATTTACAATATTCACCACTGGGATTTTTATTTTTTTGCTATATAAATGAAAGTCCATACATTTTGAAAAAAAAAGTTTTTTCTTATGTAAGTTTGCAAATAAATAATCTTTCTTCATAAATCTTGGCCAAAATGTATTCATCTTTTTAGTAAAAAAAAAAATAATTCAAATTTGTTTATAACCAAAAAATTATAATTTTTCAAAAAAAGTTTTAAATTATTATTCATGTGTTTTTTTTTTTTTGTTTTTTTTTACATACTGTCACCCTAACCCTAAAAATCTTCTTCATCAAGCCCCACAAGTAGTACAGTGTCACTATTCTTTTTTTTTTTTTTACACTGATTGCTTTTACACCCATAAAGGCTGTAAAAGCAATAATTTCTCCTTCTCTCTGGCTGCATTCTTGCAGCCATTGAGAAATACTGTGAGAGCTGTGATTGGTCACAGCTTGTTACATGGTACAAGGCTGCTGTGAATAGCCTTGTACCATGTGACCTCTGTGATCATTCACAGATTTCACACATAAAAAGCAATGATGTCAGGAAGTGATATCTTGCTTACTACTATTCATGTGATCACTGATTGGCCAACCAACCTCGGGATCAGAGGTCCTGTACAGCGATCGGTGTTCCCAGGGAGCGCGCACAGGCAGGGAATGCGGGAGGACGTTTATAAATGGTCACCTGCTCCTACACTGCTCCCGTTCGGCCGTTTATGTACATGGGCCGGACGGGAAGTGGTTAAAACAGAACTCTAAAGCTGGCCATAGATGGATCGAAATTCAGCCAGTTCAGCGGAGACCATCCTGCTCAGGGGGAGGAGCCAGAAGCACCAGCAGGGGACCCGAAAAGAGGAGGATCGGCATTGCTCTGTGTAAAACCATTGCATAGAACAGACGAATATAATGTGTGTTATTTAAAAAAAAGAATTAAAAAACGAGCATTTAGTATTACTTTAAGGCTACATTTTCACTGCAGTTTGTGTGTGGCCAGGGGTGGTCACCAGCAAGAATCAGCAGATTCTTGCCATTGGTTGTAAATGCTGCTTGTAACCAGCAACAGCTGTCACTGTCAGATGTCAGTACAAATCAAATCAATGGCAGAGCAGAAGTCCAAATAAAGTCCTTTAGAAAAAAAAAAAAGAATGTCCGGTGGTAAGAGAGGGAGGGGAGAGGAGGCAGGAGAGGACAACTTCACAGTTAAGGTGTAGGTCCACTTTAAGCTGGCCATGTATGGTTAGTTTTTTTCATTCATCTAATAGACTGAACAAAAAAAAAATTATCAGATTCTTCCATCCACACAATCAAGGAGGATGGAGGAAGTTCCCCGTGATGGGACAATGTATTCTCACAGCGGCACTCGCTGATTGGCTGCAGCCTTTGATGGAGGACAATTCTCCTACATGTCCCTTCAACAGAAATCATTTAAAGTGGGAGTCCACTCCCATGGTTGATTTTTACCTATAGGTAAGCCCATAATAAGGCTTGCCTATAGGTACATTAAATATCTCCTGACCGTGCACCATTTAGGAGATATTTACTAAAGAAGCAGCCAGTGATGTCACCGGAGCATGCTCACTGAAGGAACAGCAAAAAAAAAAAAAATTACAAATATGTTATACTTACCTGCTTTATGTAATGGTTTTGCACAGAGCAGCCCCAATCCTCCTTTTCTCAGTGCCCCCTGCCGGCTCTCCTGGCTCCTCTTCTTTGGTGGGTGCCCCCATAGGAAATGGCTTCCTATGGGGGCATTCACATGGGCTCGCTCTCAAGCCCTGTGCTGTGAACAGTGATTCCTGTGCGCATGTGTGGGAGTGACATCGTCATAGCTCTGCCATTCACACCGCGAATCCGGAGGGAAGAATAGTTGAAAATGGAAGCACCTACGCTGAGACAGCGTGCCACTGGAGGCCTTCGTTTTCAGGTAAGTCTGTCATAATGTGCTAGTAAGCGGTGCATACTAGCAAATTATGACTTAAACTGCCCGGTACAGATTTTTTTTTGGTTTCTGTGGGTTACTTCTGCTTTAAATTATCAACTTCTGTCGAACGGGAACAGCCACACACTGACTGAAATACAGTCGGTCCCCGCTGAATCATTTTGATCCGTGTATGGCCAGCTTTTGCGATTCTGGTTTGCTTGTTTGACAATAGCCTTAGGCAGGTGATCACAAACTGCAGTTAGAACTTTAATTTCTTTTACTTGTGGAAGGAATGAAAACCAGTTAGATTCTCTGTTGGTTCACATTGCTGTCTGTGGTCTGCGAAATTTCACTGTCACTTCCTATCCTTGTGACATCCTGTTTCTTAAATAGTGAGACAGACAGCAATATGAATCAGCAGAGGATAGAAGTCTTCCTTGCTGTATCCAAAACTGAAACAAACAAAAAAAAAGTTGTGGCTGTTAAACATAACTTAAATTGTGCAAGCACAAGAAAAACAAGACAAGTTGATTTCCACACCCGTTATCCCTTTAAACACACTGCAAGTACAGAAAAAATGAGTGCGCCTACCTTCCATTTCTGCCATGACAATTTAAGCTTTACATTTCACGTGGTGTCAGCCCTGCCTACTTCATTTCTAATAGATAAGAAACAACAAAGCCCTCCTCTTATTCCCTCCCCGCTCCTCTTCTCCATGACACAAGTATAGAGCTCAGGAAGTTAACAGCTTACTAGAATTCAAAATTTATCAAAACAAAACACTTTTATGCCCCTTTCACACAAAAGGTCCAATCAGATCCACCTGTCAGTTTTTCCTCCATTCATGCCTATGGACCAACATTTACACCTGCTTACCCCTAATCCAATGTGGCCTGCTAAAAAAAATGGGCAGGGATCTGTTTCCCTCCATCTAGGCTACAGGTGTCAAAACACAAGGCCCACGGGCCGAATCCGGCCCTCCAGGCCATTTCGTGTGGCCCTTGCACCTCTCCTGCAGGTCTCCACCCCCACCTTGTCTCAACAGTCTGTATCAGAGAGGAAAATAGAACTCCTCTGCCAAATCCTGCACCTCTCTGTGTAGCTGCAGCACCCCTTCATCTCTGCCTCCCCTGGTCTCTGCATTCAGCAGAATATAAATATATTGCTTAGTGGTAGAATCATTTGTAAGTGAGAATCAGTCCGAACTTTGTTGTAGGGTCTGTCAGCCCACTTTTAGGCCCTGTTCACATTATCGTGTAGTCGGAACAAGTGTTCCCACTACAAGATTTTGACATGCAATTTTCAAGTGATTCTGTGTGTCACATAGGGCAGACCATAAACTTGAATGGGCTGCCCTATGTGTGTCTACCTTCCAAAAAGAAGCTCCTGCTGGTTTTCAGGTGTCAAGCTTCACGCGGGTTTGCAAAGGTGAATTTAGGATTGTGCGTCAGAATCGCATTGCGGCTGGGGTGTCATTGAAGGATGATGGCATGCTTCTGTGATTGCCACGCCATTTGGAATTGCGGAATGAATCGCAATGATTGTGAGATGTGTACGGGGCCTGAGTAAACACAACAAAGGTAAAGTCCATAAAACCTGCCCACGCAGATGTTTCAGTTTTACACAGCAAAACAGATTCATGAAACATACCAAGCCATCGGGCTCACTCTTCAGCAGCACTTCTCCTCTTGTCACAGGACCCTCAGACCTTCTCACCAGCTCTCCTGGCTTTCTCAACTCTCTCCTGGTTCACTCAGCCTTTAGTTACAGCTCCCTGTTGTAAGGGCCCACTCCTGGCCTCTCAAGGGGGTTCATCTGATGCCCTGGGCTCTCTCACTACTGTGAGAGTTACAGGTTCCCTCAGTCCCTTGGATTTGCCTAGTTGTCCTAGCCTTCTCAGTCTCCCAGACTTTCTCCTAGTCTTACAAACTGAAGTAACCCCCTCAGCTTTTTCAGTTTGATGGACATAGAAGATCACCACCATTGAGTGCTCTCTCTTGGGCAGAGCACCACTGTCTCAAGTACAAGATCACACACCTGTCTTCAAATGGGAGCATACCTCTCTCCTGTCTGGAGCCCCAAAGTCTTGTAGATCTCCTGTAAGACCTGGACATAGGATTGAAGGCTTCATCCCACTCAACACACTTTGAAGCCTTCAAGTTCCTGTGGATGTAGCAAAATACCCCCTTAGAGTCTACATTTTCATTGACCCTCAAAGGTTTGTTAATCGTTTCCTTCCTACCCTTCTCCCCGTTTTCTCCTCCAGGGCACTTATGTAATAAGTTAAAGCTTATGCCTCTACCAATGCATGCCTTGAATTAGCTCCTAATTACACAGTACAATTTATATTTGTTGGTCAATGACTCTATGTTCTGAATGTTTGTTTATCTCTGCTTAATCTACAATAAAACTCTTTGTTTGTAAAAGAAGCCTTCAAGTTCCAGGCCCCGATCTGGGATTACAAAACCAAACCCTGACAAAGACAGTCTTCTCCATTGAAAAATGCTCTGAATCTTTTCCTATCTTTTTCCTATAATCACACTGTGGCAGAACCTAGCATTGTCACCATGGCTTACCTCTCCTTCTCTTCAGACCTGCAAGACCTGGTTGTGATTCCGCAGCATACTGCCCCAGAGAAAGCCATGGAGGAACTTGAAAACCTTTATGATGTGTTTCTGCACGTCACAAGTAATTGGCGCTGTAATGTAAGTAAAATTCAATTATTCTAAATTACTTTAGTAAAAGCAGATCCAACCCTTAAAGTAGAACACCAATGAAGCTTCTAAATGCACCAGTGAAATACATATGTCTATATGAATAGTTTTAACTTCTAATATATTTGCTATTCTGTTCGCTACATAGCCAGAGATGGGACAATTAAAGTGATTGGTAAATACAGGTGAAACTCAAAAAATTAATATATCGTGCAAAAGTTAATTTATTTCAGTAATGCAACTTAAAAGGTGAAACTAATATATGAGAGACTCATTACATGCAAAGCAAGATAGTTCAAGCTGTGATTTGTCATAATTGTGATGATTATGGCTTACAGCTCATGAAAACCCCAAATCCACAATCTCAGAAAATTAGAATATTGTGAAAAGGTGCAATATTCTAGGCTCAAAGTGTCCCACTCTAATTAGCTAATTAAGCCATAACACCTGCAAAGGGTTCCTGAGACTTTAAATGGTCTCTCAGTCTGGTTCAGTAGGAATCACAATCATGGGAAAGACTGCTGACCTGACAGTTGTGCAGAAAAACCATCATTAGCACCCTCCATAAGGAGGAAAAGCCTCAAAAGGTAATTGCAAAAGAAGTTGGATGTTCCCAAAGTGCTGTATCAAAGCACATTATTAGAAAGTTATGTGGAAGGGAAAAGTGTGGAAGAAAAAGGTGCACAAGCAGCAGGGATGACCGCAGCCTGGAGAGGATTGCCAAGAAAAGGCTATTCAAAAGTGTTGGGGACTTTCACAAGGAGTGGACTGAGGCTGGAGTCAGTGCATCAAGAGCCACCACACACAGACGGATCCTGGACATGGGCTTCATATGTTGTATTCCTCTTGTCAAGTCTTACCTGGGCTAAAGAAAAAAACAGACCAGGTCTGTTGCTCAGTGGTCCAAAGTCCTCTTTTCTGATGAGAGCAACTTTTGCATCTCATTTGGAAACCAAGGACCCATAGAATGGAGGAAGAATGGAGAGGCACACACTGCAAGATGCTTGAAGTCCAGTGTGAAGTTTCCACAGTCTGTGTTGATTTGGGGAGCCATGTCATCTGCTGGTGTTGGTCCACTGTGCTTCATTAAGTCCAGGGTCAACGCAGCCATCTACCAGGAGATTTTGGAGCACTTCATGCTTCCTTCCGCAGACGAGCTTTATGGGGATGCTGACTTCATTTTCCAGCAGGACTTGGCACCTGCCCACACTGCCAAAAGCACCAAAACCTGGTTTAATGACCATGGGATTACTGTGCTTGATTGGCCAGCAAACTCGCCTGACCCGAACCCCATAGAGAATCTATGGGGCATTGCCAAGAGAAAGATGAGACCGAACAATGCAGAAGAGCTGAAGGCCGCTATTGAAGCATCCTGGTCTTCCATAACACCTCAGCAGTGCCACAGGTTGATAGCTTCCATGCCATGCCGCATTGAGGCAGTAATTGCTGCAAAAGGGGCCCAAACCAAGTACTGAGTACATATGCATGCTTATACTTTTCAGAGGTCCGATATTGTTCTATGTACAATCCTTGTTTTATTGATTGCATGTAATATTCTCATTTTCTGAGATTGTGGATTAGGGGTTTTCATGAGCTGTAAGCCATAATCATCACAATTATGACAAATCACGGCTTGAACTATCTTGCTTTGCATGTAATGAGTCTATCTCATATATTAGTTTCACCTTTTAAGTTGCTGCACTGAAATAAATGAACTTTTGCACGATATTCAAATTTTTCGAGTTTCACCTGTAAATAATAAGTAATGGTTTCGCACAGAGCAGCCCTGGTCCTCCTCTTCTCGGTGCCCCCTGCCGACTCTCCTGGCTCCTCCTCTTTGGTGGGTGCCCCCATAGGAAATGGCTTTCTATGGGGGCATTCACATGGGCCCCGCTATCTGCATCCATGCCCCCCCCCCCCCAGCTCCCTTGTCATAGGATTTGATTGACAGAAGCAGGAGCCAATGGCTCCCGCTGCTATCAATTTGCCCTGTGGGAAGGGAGAAAGAGGAGAGAGCTGCTGCTCTCATGCGCTGGACTGAGATCAGTTCAGGTACGTATAGGGGCTCTTTGAGGGGGGCTAGATGCAGGGTTTTTTTACCTTCATGCATGAATATAAAAATTGTCAGCCTGCAAAATTACTATAATGAACATCACTTCACTAGTGAGGGTCTCCCTGTGTCCCACCACTCCTTCCTCCTCTTAGCCCCTTAGCCCCTGGGGCCTGGAAATGTCAGAACGACAGCATTTATCAAGGCAGATTGGCTCACATTATGTAATCTCTCACTGTGAGCCAATTCCTGTTTTGAATATAAGGACTGCAGACTGTGTACAGCGTATATACTATGTTGGTTCAGACTCCTATTTGACCATGCTCCATTATTCCACGTCCCATTATTAAGTATAGCGATGCCATTTTCATGTCTTCTCCGTCCGTTGGTGTCCCTCTTTTCAAATTTAAAAGTTGAGAGGCTTGGTTTAGATAAGCTTTAAATAAAGGTGTTTTTTACTTTATTCCACTGTCTGTTACAAACAGAATCCGACTTTTGTAATTGCACTCTAGGAAAAAACTTTTTTTTTTGTTTTACTTAATGTGGCGGAGGGTTAGAACCTCCATCAGTACAGCAAATTCCAACTTTTACAGTTGTCACAGAACAGTAAGTGAAGGGAAATCCACCAACGGGGACAACTTTTCTGGTGACAAATGGATTTCTCCTCATTTTGGAGAGATGTTTCCTCACTTATTTTTCTTGGACAGGGCGTGAGGAAAAATCTCCCCAACTGGGACATAGATAGCAAAAAACAAAACATAGCACTCTATTCTCTGTACACTCTCTCTGTGTGAACAAAGTATGATTTCACTTCAAGCGGCAATATCACATTTTCAATGCTTCTCACTTTTTTTGTAATAGCTTAATTAAGCAATAACTAGCAATAACTCTCCCTTCTTTATATTCATAACAGAATCTGGTTATTATGGGCGACTTTAACGCTGGATGCAGTTACCTCTCTAAGAAGAAGAGGCGCTCTCTTCGCCTATATAGTGATCCAAAATTTCACTGGCTGATTGGGGACGAGGTTGACACTACAGTGAGAGAAAGCACAAAGTGCCCTTATGACAGGTGAGAAAGAGAAATATACAGTACTGAGAAGGTAGAAGAGAGCCAGGACCAGCCTTAGGCACATGAGGCAATTACCTTAGAGGCCAAATGTCTGCTACTGTGGACAGCACTGCTCTTAGAAACCACGGGGTCCCATGCAGCCAACCTGACAGGGCCTCCCCCAAAAAAAACACAGTTTACTATGCTTTGGTTTTGAATGGACACAGTGAGTGATCAGTACCAATCACTCTTTGTGTTCATTCAGGAAAGGAATGGGCTGGTAAATGTGACACTTCTTTTTTCATTTTTTGTACTGTTGACTTTTGGTGAGGGGGCTCACTGGACACCATGGCTACCATTGCTCTACATGCTGGGTGTCCAGTGCGCTCCTGTACCTTTAAGCAGGGGTGAGCTCCCTCAGGTTCACCTGCTCTTGGTCTATTCATTAAATACATGTGCCTCTACTATGGGGGCTCTCAAAATTTGTAGAGTTAGGACCACAGAATATTGGGGTTCCGTGACGTGGCTCTGTGGCTTATGTATTTGCAAATGTGTGTTAACTAAACCCCTGTTTTTAACGCATACTGTTAGACAAGTCAATTCGGTTGTTGGCAAGTTGAGCTGGGAACTTTCTTTTCTTTTTTTTGACATATTTACCAGACCCTTCCCCCACTCTTCACCCGAAAGGATCCTATTGTATGTTTTCAGTTGCCGGTGGGAAGGAAGGGATGGAAGCCAGCATCTCTACGGGGGTGGGGGCACACAGGGGGGCCTGGTCAGCAGGGGAAAATGTATGATACACAGGGAGGATGATGGGTGTTGTGCCAGGGCAATTACTGGAACCGATCCCCTGTATGGCTCTCTCTGCAGCAGCTGAAAGCCAATGGGAGGGAGAGGAGAAGAAGCCAGTTTTCAGCTGCTGCATAGAGAGCCGCACAGTGGATCCATTAATTACTCCCCCCACCGTGCCAATAACCCTCCCTGCACACATATGATTCACGCAGCTGCCTGGGCCCCCATGCTGGCCTGGGCCCAATACAGGTGGTACCTGTAGAAGAATGGAAGTTGCTATTGTGCACCTGCCATAAAATGCTAGCTGCCTGGCTGTCAAGCCGAATTGGTAGTTTCAGTACATTCTGAATCACTGACCTAGAACAAGTATGCAAGGTAGGAGTTAAAACTTCATTGAGACTTTTCTGATCTGCATACTTCTTCCCACTTAGTGACTCAAAGCCCTGAAGAAATTGAGTCGGTATGACAGCCAGGCAATTAGTAGGAGGTAGTCTGCCATGGTATCCTTGATATATTTCTCAGTACAGGTTCATTAAGGGAAGAGTGGAAATAGTAACCTATAAGGGTATACCACATGGCTAGGTTCACATATACACATATGCGTGTGCATAATCCAATGCATTCCTGACCAACACAGAAAGGTGCTACTCTGTAGCAGATGTGCGGAATGCCATTAATTCTTATTGATGTCCTCACGCACTAGCACCCACGTCTGTTTTCGCGTGCACATGAAACTGTGGTTCTGTACGATGCGTTTTATAAAACGGTCAGGGACTTCTTTTCCCACTTTTCTTCTGGGTACAGCAGCCAATTTAAATGAACCTGCAACAAATCCGCTGTACCTGCCATATGAATGCTCTAAATGCGCCCACACATATGTGAACCTAGGCTAACATACTACCCTTGTTAGAAGATTGAAAAATTGATATATGTCACATAAGTCCTGATTCATCAAGCTGACAATAGAATGTAAGGCATCCTAAAATCTACTTGCTAAAATGGCATCACATTCATTATTATTATTATAATACAGGATATATATATCGCCAACAGTTTGCGCAGCATTTTACAAAATGAAGGTAGACATTACAGTTACAATACAATTTGGTACAAGAGGAAACAGAGGGCCCTGCTCATTAGAGCGCATAATCTATTACAGCATTTAATTATAGCATGGCTTAAAGCGAGTGTAAATTCTTGGGTCCCTCGCCTGCACTCCTCCCCCCCGTTGAGTGCCCACAGAGCAAGTTGCTTGCTATGGGGGCACTTGTGCACGCTCACTCCCGAGCCCTTCTCTGCGTGGTCATAAGACACACAGAGTACTGCTCGGTCCCTCTCCCGCTCCCTCCTCACTGACTGTGATTGACAGCATTGGGAGCCAATGGATCCCGCTGCTGTGTCTGAGCCAATGAGGAGGGAGAGAGCTGGGAGAGCCGCTGCTCTCATGCTGAATCAAGATTGGGCTCAGGAAAGTATTTGGGGGGCCCAGGGTGGGAGCTGCACAGAGAAGGCTTTTTTTACCTTTTACCTTCATGTATAAAATGTATTAAAGTAAAAAACCTTCAGCTTTTAGAACCACTTTAAGCAATAATTAGTATATCTTAAAGTTGTTCTTTTAGTAAGTACAGTAGTGTGTGAATAAGATCTTTACGACATAATATAGAGTCACATAATTTTCCACAAAATCTTCACCTATTTTTTATTAAAAACCAGTCCTTGAGTTCCAATCAGGTGATTTTTGCCTAGGCTCAGATGATGTCATGAGTAATCTGCAGGCAGGAGAAAGCATTTCCTCAGTCTCTAACTTGATGTTACTTTTCTTGTACAGGATAGTGGTGTACGGCGAGGAATTGGCAAATTTGGTGAACTCTGCTGGAATTTACAATTTTACAAAAGAGTTGGGACTCACAGAGGTGGAGGTATGGGGTGAAGATGAGTAGACTGTCATGACTTTATGAAGTCATTAAAGTATCTATATGCTGACAGATTTAGAGGACCACGGATTTCGTCTTGGATATGGTGTAGAAGGCTTAAATTGTCTGTCAGTTTTTCATTGGGGGGGGGGAAGTTTACCCTCTCATCCTGTCCTCAAAGTGATGAGAAATCTCCCCAATGAGACACAGAGAGCAATGAATCCTGTTAGAGATTCTAAACTTTACATGTTTTATTATTTATATTTTATTAAACGTTTTGGGGCTGATGCTCCACCTAAAGTGAACTTCCACACAGTGTTAGTAACCATATTTTAGTGTAACCTCATAACTGTGCAAATGAAGCCTTCTGATTGAAATATTTTCAATGGAAAGGCAATAAATAAGGAGCATGCTTGTGATGGCCATTCTATGGGTTAGGCATAGCTCACATATCTATTGGTTCATTGAGGTTCAGAAATAGGTATACCAGCTTATTCTATATTACAGCACAAAAGACAATGGTGATGTGTAAAGTGAAGTATCTCAATCAACCAATCAATTAACTTACCTAACTACAGTATAATTAATTCAGATTAGTTGAGAAATACCAAAGTGCAGTGTTATAAAAGATGAGTGAGTAAATAAATATATCATTAATTATAATTCCTCCTAATTGGCAGTCTATATACATATATATATATATATATAACAATCACCCTACAAAATGTGCAAGTATGCAAACACATGTGTAATATATATGTTGCATCAACCAATTTTATGCAAACAATGTGCAAATACACAAGAAAGTGTAAAAATCATCGACATGCAAAAGATGCTAGCATGCAAAAGTGCAAATTATTAAAGCGGAGTTCCACTCACCCTGTCAAAAAATAAGTTAACAGCTACAAAAACTGTAGCTGCTGACTTTTAAAAAACAGCAACTTACCTGTCCCTCAGTCCCGTGGTGTGTCCACCGCAGCTCGTTTCACCTGTATTCCGGGAGGCCAGCATCTTCAGTGTGGGCACCCAGCTGTGATAGCTGGGTACCCATTGCGCATGCGCGAGTAGCACTGTGCTTCATGAATGGTCCTGTAATCTTCTGGGACCTGTCACGTGTCCCAAAAGACTACAGGGAGGGAGGGAGGACACCTTCCGTTTTCCGATCGCCTAGGCAATCGGACCGGAAGTGGGAGCGGGTACCTGTCAAATTCGGGTTCCCGCTCCTGCCCCCCAAAGGTGCCAATCCTTAATAGGGAGTGGGAGAGCAGTCCTTAAAGCGGAATTGCCCCTTTTGGGTGGAGCTCCGCTTTAAATGATGCTAATTATAACATTATAGCTCCTGATCCCCCCTCCTCCCTACGTGTTTTGTCCCATGTGACGTCATCAGTGCATCGGTATGTGACGAAACACGTAGGAAGGAGCTGGGATACATGCTACCACGTATGCATGCTGAACTGCGGCCATCTTGGCTACTGGCATTGTGGAATTCTGTGATGTTAAAAACTCTGTATGCTCTGCAATACATTGTATGTGCATTTACAAGATAAAATGTTCTTTTTATGTGGATTTACACTACAGGAGGGATTCTTTTATCCCTTTTTGTGACATGAGTTGCCTGTCCTGTTGAAAGTGTGAAATAGGTGTGGAGTGTCAATCTGGGGGATCTGGAGATCAGATGCAGGAGTCATACACCCTACTGACCTGGGAGTCCCATGAGGTGCCATTAGTGAGCAGGAGGCCACTCTACATTGGGGGTCATATAATTCTGGTAAGCCTTCCTTGCACAATGTGGGTGGTGAGTGACACATGAAGCTTTGGAACTGGAAATGTTCTCACTGGGATTCACACATGTAATGGAGACTATCCATATCATTATCTACTATATTGTTATTACCATATGTTATAATTGGAGCTGTGTTAAAGCCCTAGTGTGGACTTTTGCATGCTAGCATATTTTGCTCTTTGATGATTTTTGCACTTTATTGCATATTTGCACATTATTTTGGATTGTGCATACAATTGGTTGATGCAATTGATATTACACATATATACATTGCACATATTTTTGTATGTTTTCACATTTTTAGGGTGACTGTTATACATATACATTGCCAATTAGGATGAATTATAATTGATAATATATTTATTTACTCACTCATCTTTTATAGTGCTGCACTTTAGTCTTTCTCATTTGGTTTATACTTTGTATCAGAGTATAGTGTCAGCTGCTTTTCTTGTTTTATTTAAGCGCTAGAGCAGATTTTCATCATTTTAAATTTTGATTAGTTGTTAGTGGTTATAGTTTCTTCTGCGCCTTCTATTGCTGAATTTCACGTATGTTTTCATGCAGAGTTACATGGTCCAGCTTGGACCAATGTAAGCATACATATTCCATTCCTGGCTGATCCCCGTGGAATTGGAAACTCACTGTAGTAGCTGCTGACTGCCCTGCTGCATGGCAATCACAGGGGGTCACTAATTTTGTACAGGAAAGCTTTACATTTTCTCATTCTCTGATTGGACCATATGGAGAGGTGGGGATTAGCATCACAATCTCCACCTCATCCAATCAGTGAACACCTTGAAAAAATACAAGGTGTTCTCTGAATGGTGAGCGACCCCCTGTGGTTAGAGTGCAGCAGGGCAGCTGCTCAGCATGGTATCTGGAGGACAGCAAGGTTCACTGTAATAGCGGTGGCTATGGTGATACTTTCCACAGGGATCATCCAGGTATGGAATATGTATATGTATAAGCTGGCCCAATATATACCTTTGCAACTGAAAGGGGAAAACCTACCTAGAATGCAGCTTTACCCTAGTTTCACACCTAAGCCTTTTCTGCAGCATTTTGCAGAAACGCAGTACAGTCTATTTAACATGATTTCCTATGGGACAGGTTCACATCTCCACATTTTCACCCGGTGCGTTTTTTGGAAAGGGTCAGGAAATTTTTTTAACACAAAACGTTGCGTTTTTAGTTCTATAGACTTCAATGGGAATGCTGTAGAAAAGTATGTTTTGCGTTTTTGCTGCATTTTTGATGCATTTTGTATTTAAAATCTCAAATCAATAGATCCAAACAGGAATCTACCCTCTTTCAATAAATCTACTATATATGTGACAACAAAATATTCCCCATATACTTTCTACAAAATCATAAATCCAGTGTCTCTGTGATTTAAATCCAATAATATAAAGTCCAGTGTCTCAATAACGAAAAAAAATATATAAAATTAAAAAAATAAAAATAAAAATAAAAATAAAATAAAAAGAAATGAAAAAATGTCTATTTCTTGCAGTGTTGATTGTTGTGAAGAACCACCAGTAGATGAAACTCACGCCTTTTGTATATATATATAACTGGAAATCCTCCAAAGAAGCTTTATCCTCCTCTCCTCCTTCGCTTCCTGTTAGGATGATCTTACCATGCCTTCCACATCCATAGGTTTATAAAATATAACGTACCTCCATGTATGTTTCAAGTTTTAATGAATCCACTTGTATAAGGAGTTGAAAACATAGGCATATAAATAGTATAATCAATTTTGGACAAGCCCCACTGAGTGGGGATTACCAGGCAGTTCCCACAGTTCCCATGCAGTCCACTCTCAAGTGTCCAGTGATTCCTCAACAAAGATGGCCGCCATCTTTGTTGAGGAATCACTGGACACTTGAGAGTGGACTGCATGGGAACTGTGGGAACTGCCTGGTAATCCCCACTCAGTGGGGCTTGTCCAAAATTGATTATACTATTTATATGCCTATGTTTTCAACTCCTTATACAAGTGGATTCATTAAAACTTGAAACATACATGGAGGTACGTTATATTTTATAAACCTATGGATGTGGAAGGCATGGTAAGATCATCCTAACAGGAAGCGAAGGAGGAGAGGAGGATAAAGCTTCTTTGGAGGATTTCCAGTTATAATATATACAAAAGGCGTGAGTTTCATCTACTGGTGGTTCTTCACAACAATCAACACTGCAAGAAATAGACATTTTTTCATTTCTTTTTATTTTATTTTTATTTTTATTTTTATTTTTAATTTTATATATTTTTTTTCGTTATTGAGACACTGGACTTTATATTATTGGATTTAAATCACAGAGACACTGGATTTATGATTTTGTAGAAAGTATATGGGGAATATTTTGTTGTCACATATATAGTAGATTTATTGAAAGAGGGTAGATTCCTGTTTGGATCTATTGATTTGAGTTTAAGCTTTCAGGGGGTTGAAAGTTTTTTTCCAATTTGGAATTGGTGTAGGAGCAAGGGTGGTTTTGGTTTCACATTATACCTATATCATTTTCACATTATATTTATATGTATTTAAAATCTGCCTAGCAAATAGAAAAGTAAAATAAAATTTAAAAAAAGCATAAAAAACGCAAGTGCAAAAACAACGCATTGCAAAACTCAATGCAGAAACGCATCAAACGCAACCTGTATAGGTGTGAACCTAGACTTAAATAAATCCATATTAAAACGCTGGCCACTTGTGATCTACTAAGCTAAATATTCTCAACTCTGTTACCTAATGAGGTACATTTTCTCATCTGCAATTTCTAGTAACTAAATTGGTGCCTTAGCTATTTACAGTGAAGGAAATAAGTATTTGATCCCCTGCTGACTTTGAATGTTTGCCCACTCACAAAGAAATGATCAGTCTAAAAATCAAATGGTAGGTGTATTGTAACACTGAGAGACAGAATAGCAACAAAAAATTCAAAAGAAATGCACGTGTAACAAATTATGCACTGATTTGCATGTTCATGAGGGAAATAAGTATTTGATCGCCTATCATTCAGCAGGATTTCTGGCTACCAGGTGTCTGTCATACAGGTAAGATTAGAAGCAGTCTCTTAAAGAGAGTGCTGCTAATCTAATTTTTTTACCTGTATAAAAGACAACTGTCCACAGGAACCATCAAACAAATCCTCCACCATGGCAAAGATCAAAGAGCTGTCCAAGGATGTCAGGGACAAGATTGCAGACCTACACAAGGCTGGACTGGACTACAAAACTATCACCAAGCAGCTTGGTGAGAAGGTGACAACAGTTGGTGCAATCATTCGCAAATGGAAGAAACACAAAACAACTGTCAGTCTCCCTAGGCCTGGTGCACCCTGACGATCGCAGAGTGCTGGCCTAAAATCTCCGGCTGGGACCCTGTGATTGACATCTCTTACCGCCAATAGCGGCAAGGATAGGGCAGCACGCGTGCCCCACTACCTGGATATGCAAATCACGTATATATACGTAATTTTGCACAGCCTTGCCGCCCTGTAGCTGTACTTCTATGAAAGAGCGGTGGGCAGGCGGTTAATCAAAGCAGACAATTATTGTATATGGGTGGAGGGAAGTGTCCCAGAAGAAGGGCAGAAACACTGTCCTTGCTACACATATCCTTTGTACAATGATGACCTTTTTTGGCCATATATATCAAGCCCAAAGACTGGAACTAGTTAACCTCCTTAGCGGTTTTCCTGAGTGTAGCTCGGGGTAAAATTTGAGTACCAAGAGCGGTAACCCCAAGCTACACTCGGGCTTACCATGCGGCGTTGCTCAGGGGGTCCCTGCAGCACTAACCTTGTCCTTCGCTCCCGCGATGTGTCCCCTGCAGCGTCCCCGGCCATCTCCTCTGGCCGATGCCGGCATCCGGCTTCCATGTTCCGGTCCCTGTGATGTCAGGACGTACGGGCGCCGGAACCGGCGGGAAATTTGAAATTTTTAAAAAATGTCATTTTTGCTGTCATTGCTGTTTCAATGCATTTCACATATATTTTGTCCCTACTGCTTTGTCCTCTGCCCTGCCTGCATTTTGAATGTTCTTTCTGCCTGGAAACTTAGAAAAGTCCATGGCGTCCAAAAAGCGTCCCTTTACGTCAAAAGCGATTTTAGAACAGCGATAGTAAATCAGAACCACTTGCAGAATTGAGTGATACTGATTTGTGGGGAAATTCGTCATCAGACACTGAAAACGATTTTGCGACTTTGCTCAGCGATGTGCGAATTTGCCTCTGTATTTCAAATTTCAGTGTTTTTGGTTTGATTATATTATTGAATTAAATGTGTTATTATTATATTATTATTTTTTTATGATTATTTATTAAATTATAATTTTATGATTTCGTGTTTCAAGTTTTATCATATCCGGAATGTTTACTAGACTCTTGTTCGGGCAGATTTCAGTGAGTTATTCCTAAAAATTACAGCCTACAATAAAAAACTACATATTTCCATGCAAAAAAATGGTACCGCTCTCAGCACAAAAAAATCGGAAAGAATCATACCGCCGAGGAGGTTAAAGAAAGATGCCAAATTTTAAATTCTGTATATTCCTGCCTGGGTGTGGGGGCAAGTGGCAGAGACAATTTTTAAAGCTGTTTTACATGTTTCATTTAACTTTAAATAGTTTGTTTTGACCAAGCTGGTCCAAACTTACTATTTACTTCACTAACAGATCCATCATCTGTGTGTATCAACTGTAAACTCTTTAAACTGTAGAACTCTATAGACTGTATGTAGCCTCAGCTACAAACAGTATACAACACTACTGTAGGTGACAGGTCAGTTTTATCTCCATCCATTTTTGTTTTTTGTATGACTATGCTGCATATTGCCTGCCTCTTCATTGATCCCTTTTATGTTATCTTGCAGGCCCTGAAAATCAGTGATCATTATCCAGTGGAGGCAGATTTTATTGTGAGACTTGGTAGCGCTCATACTTTGCTTCCATCTATTGGTCTCCTTGTTCTGAGCGTCCTAGCAGCTGGAGGAACAAAAACTTTACAATGAAAGAAATTTAAGAAAAAAAACGCAGAAACCACTTTCTAGCAGATAAAAACTCAGGACCTCTATCTTCTGATGCTGTTTTGTATGCTAACCTTATCCCATTGTATGTATTATAATGATGAAATGTGTTATTTTTGTGCTTCATGGTATCTTATGACCTACAAGGACAGCAAAGCCCTTAACCTCTCTAACCACTGGCTGTCTCCTTTTCTGATTATTGCAGTTTTATATATCTTTCAATATCCATGCTTATATCACTGTCCCTGCAGAGTCTTCCTAGTACCGCATCATAAAAAGATGTGGTTTACATCAAATATAGATCATCGAGTCTAATAACATGGAAATAACCTTCAATAATTAATTTGACTGCTAGGGCTTGTTCACACTTGACTAAAGTTCTAACTCTTACCAAACGCTCCTCCTATAGCTTTAGTATGGGCATTAGACAAGTGTTAATGAGCTATAGACTGGCTTTTTACAAGCATTAAAAACGCTCCCCAAATGCCCTATGTGCAGATTTTAAGCTTTTTATAAGCATTTGACAAGCATTAAAACTACACCACGATCTAAATAAACTGGAATGTTTTTAACGCTCCACAACCACCTGCCAGTGCGTTTGAGGAGCATCACCATAGACTTGAGTGACAGGCGTTGAAAGGCTTCAAACGCCTCCTGCCTGGACAGGAATCTTCAAAATTGAAGCAAGGTGATGCTAACGCTTCATGTTTTGATAATGTGAACAGCTCTGTGTGTTGCCTATAGTATTATTTGCATAGGAGTTTGAGGAGTGTTAAAAACGACCCTCAAACGCCTGCTTTCAAAGCCAGTGTGAACTAGGCCTTAGTGTAAGAAACAATGATAGAACTTTCAGGAAATAATGGACAAAGACTGCCTAGGTGGCTTTAGGTCCCATGCACACTGGATGTTTTTACAGCTGCTGTTTTTGGCATCAGGCATTTTTTTCTGCAGCCAATAAACTTCCCAGCATGTTACATGAATACATAGGCTTTTATCAGCGTTTTTTGGCAGGGGTGTTTTTTTGGCTAGGGAAAAAAAACAGAACTACTGCATTAGAAGAGGAGTTTTTTTAGCTGTAAAAACTCTTTAATGCTGAACAATGCGTCAAAACATTATCTGGTGTTTATGAGCGTTTTTGAGACTCAAGCGTTTTTTAAAGCAATATTTTTGGAGACTGCTATTTTTCTACAGTAAATTAATAAATTTCCCGGTGTGCTTTGCTGCCCTTTCTTTCATTGTCTGTCCTGTGCTGTGTGCACACAGGAACATTTCCCAAATGTCCTTTGCTGCCTCATTGTTTCAGCTAGCAGAACTGTGGGCAAACAGGAAACTCCTTTTATGGACATTTCCCAATGTCCTTTGCTGCCTCATTGTTTCAGCTAGCAGAACTGTGGGCAAACAGGAAACTCCTTTTATGGACATATGGAGGATACACATCAGGGTATCAAAGGATGGATCCAGATTTGTCGTCGATGGCTACTTCTCTCCTCCAGCTGTCTGTCTCCTCACCATCCTTAACAGAATCCGTAGCATAGCCTCATCAATTTCCTGCATTACAGGATCCATGGACGCAGCAAGAAAAAGAAAGCTAGCTCCTGAACAACACAATGCTCTCTCTGCTCTGAAAATGGCAGCTAAATAAACTACACAATGATTATTCAGAGAGGCATTGTGGGAAAGTGGGAGTTAAAAATAGCAGAGAGGTGTTTTCTTGCTAAAAAAAAGAAAAACACTAAAAAACTAAAAATTTAAAAGTGGCAAAATGCAGCAAAGATTTTGTTTTTAACACGGCAACACTACTGCCATATTTATAATGTCCAGTGTGCATGAGGCCTTTTTCTGTAGGATAACACTATTTAACAGCTTTTAGGAGCTTAAAAAATTCTAGCATGCATGAAGTTGTAAATTCTTTTTGTCCTTAGTTGCTTTTAGAGTCCTGTTTCCACAAGTCACTTCTGGATTCTTTGATACCTGCATCCTCCTGTTCCTTCATAAGCTTCATAAGCTCTTCCAGTGCAATAACTTGGATGTCCTCAGGAATGTTTTTTGGCATTTGCAACTTAAAAGAGGTAGTAAACCACAGGGAAAAAAAAAATCCCCTGCAAGGTAAATGTCATAATGTGCTAGTATGCATCGTATACTAGCACATTATGCAAAACTTACCTTAAAATGATGTCCTCCAGCGGAGCGGTATCACCGCTGCATTGGCTCCCACCTTCACCTGATATTCCCACGTGGAAGAAAAATATATTTGAAATATATTTTCAAAATATTCTTCCCAAATATATTGACATATATTTGAAATACTACAATTTTGGCCATATTCTATATATATATATACACACACACACTGCATATTAAAATGCAATTTTATTAGAAATTATATGAAAAATATCTTTTTAAATATATTTTTTAAATATATTCTTCAGATTTTTGTTAACATATAAAAAAGTCATTTTAACATATATTTTTTACATATATTTGTAAATGCATTCCAAAAATGTACATTTGTATTTTTAAAGCCATACAGTATATTTGAAATATATTTTTAAAAATATTTTTCATATATTTTGTAATAAAAACGGATTTCAACATGCAGTGTGTATGTGTGTGTGTATATATATATATATATATATATATATATATATATATATATATATATATTTATTGAAATATATTTAATTTGGCCAAAATTGTAGCATTTCAAATATAAGTCAAATATAATTTTACCTACAAGTAAACGTGATTATGAGCTTACCTGTAGGTAAAATAAAAAAAAAAAGAGTTTACTACCACTTTGTATGTTCCATCTTCTCTACCTCTTCTTCGTGTGATTCTAAGAAAAACCTACATATGTATCAGGAATAATGGGGTTAGAACATCTTTTGTAGCATTAATGTTTCAGTTATTCATAACTTCCTATACTTGCTATGATTGTACTGTACTTTGATATTGTACACAGTTCTGGTAGAATTGTTGTCTTTGTGTCACACTGATAGCCAGGAGGTGTGATTGTGATGTCCTCCAGAGACATCTATTATGCTCCATAGAAAGCTCAAACCCATTGTTGGTGAATCTAACAAGCTCAGTTTCTGAATGAACACTGAACAAATGGCAGAGTTGGCAGGTCTACTCACCTTTTATTCCTAAACTTTGTATCCTTACGTGGGTTAAAGATCATGTCTGATTCATGCAATACTGAACAACAAACAAATGTCATTTTGGGGTCTACCTACCTTTATTTCCAAAGTTTCCATCCTGGGGAGGGGAGGGCCAAAAAATATTATAATCGGCTCATATAACGTTTTTATACTATTCTAATAAGAGAAGCTGCCGAGGGGTGTGTAGGTTGCAAAATATGTGCATCAACTGTTTATAGATGTATGTACAGTACAGTAGCAAACCTTTAAGGCCAGTTGACACTACTTGCGTTTCAGTTGATTTTTTTCTGCATCCAAAACGCACAGAAAGTAGGTGATATGGTCAATGTCATAGTTCACATCAGTACTTACAGTTCTAGTTGCAGAAAAAAAAGTAGAACATGCTGAATTTTTTCTGCATAGAACTGTACTGGAATGCGGTACAATGCATCAAGAATGCACTGGAATGCACCAAAATGCACCAAAAACGCACATGTCCCCATTTAACCACTTTCCCGCTGCCCTATAGCAAATATACTGCTACAAGGTGGCAGAGGTGCGCAAAATGTGTGTGTGTGTATATATATATATATATATATATATATATATATGCGTGATTTTGCATTTCCGGGTAGGGTCACAGTCGCTGCTGTCTATCATCGGGTCCCAGCTAGTGATTACCCACCGGTGCCCGGTGATTACCGAGCATCTCCGATGGGGAGGAGAATTGTTTGGTTTACTAACAGTCCTCCTCCCTGTCGGCTCGGGCACACTGCTTTGGGTGGCTATGCACAGCACAGCCATCCAAAGCTGTGTGCTTACAGTGAAGCCCCTAGTAAAATGGCACACAGTTAACCCTTTGATCACCCCAGATGTTAACCCCTTCCTGCCCAGTGCCAATAGTACAGTGTCAGTGCTTTTTATTATTATTGGTGTCACTGGGTATGTCAGTGACACCAAGTCAGTTCCCCCCCAGTGTCAGAATGTCCACCGCAGTCCCGCTATAAGTCGCTGATCGCCGCCATTAGTAGTAAAAAAAAAAAAATTCCAGTATTTATACTGCCATTTGTAAACGCTATAACTTTCATGTAAACCGATTATTGGGATTTTTTTTTTTTTTAGCAAAGACATGTAGCAGAATGCATTTTGGCCTAAATTTATGACGAAATTTGATTTTTACATTTTTTTTACTGGACATTTTTAATAGCAAAAAGTCAAAAATATTGTTATTTTCTCAAAACTGGCGGTCATTTTTTTTTATACCACAAAAAATAAAAAACTGCACAGGCGATCAAATACCACCGAAAGAAAGCTCAGTTCGTGGGAAAAAAAGAACGTAAAATGCATTTGAGTGTAGCGTTGCATGACCGCACAATTATCAGTTAAAGCAGTGGTTCTCAACCTGTGGGTCGCGACCCCTTTGCTGGTCGAACGACCCTTTCACAGGGGTCCCCTAAGACCATCAGAAAACACATATTTCCGATGTGTAAAGAGCAGCTACTGTGTAGAAAGCAGCTGCTGTGTTGAAAGCAGCTACTCTGTTAAAAGCAGCTACTGTGTTGAAAGCAGCAGTATTGGAGGTAAAACGACACTCATGAATTATAATTACTGGGTAAATAATTTTATTGTTGGGGGTCATCACAACATGAGGAACTGTATTAAAGGGTCACAGCATTAGGAAGGTTGAGAACCACTGAGTTAAAGTAACGCAGCGCCGTAATGCAAAAAAATTGCCTGGTCAGGAAGGGGGGTAAATCCTCTGGAGGGTCAGTGGTTAAATTGAAGAAAAAGAGAAGAGAAAAAATTAACTTTAATGCATAAAAAAATGCAACAGAACGCACCAAA